GGGGCCGGGGGGTGTGTCTGTGCAGCTTAAGGAGCAGGAGGTGACAAAACTTGAGTCGGGGTTGTGCCGCTGCGTTTATTCAGCAATGTTTGAGCAGCTCTTACATGCTAGACACATGCATGTATCTGTAAGCAGGGAAATCTGTGGGCTGAGCTAGTCTTATACAATATGCACAAGGACAGTAATGTGGTTAAATTACCTGTTTTAAAAGTGTCAGCTCTTTTGGTGACTGTGCCAACCCTCTGTTCCCACAATAGATGCGACGAGGAGACGCGCCTTTGCCCTGGTCTCTCAAGCTTATACCTCAATTATCGCGGATGATTTTGCAGCTTTTGTGGGGCTCCCTGTGGAAGATGCTGTGAAAGGTATTTCTGGCCCACTTGTTACTTTTGAGGAAAGGGGGAAACGAGGCGTAGTGTACGTTACAAGTGCACGACCCGTACCCGAAACCCGTGGGCAGGATATGGTTTTGGAGTTCGTGGTGTGTGCTCCCCAGGAGGGGATGAGTCAGGCGTAGCACAGCGCCTGCAGGGTCGGTAAGGAGCACAGCAGTGGCTCTGCAGCAGGCTCAGTGTGACCGTTCACGGTGGGGATGGGGCAGGTTATAGACGGACTTCACAGCAGCTTCGCCACCACGGTAGTTAAAGGGAACGCTGGGTTTGTAGAGCTTTTGGACCTCCAAGTGTGTAGGTGAGAAGAACTCAGCTCCTTCTGACACTGTCTGCCTGGAGTTAGTGTCACACTCCGCAGGTATAGGACTGGCCCCCAGGAGCGCCCTCCACTTCAGACGCCAGGCCCAAGTCCAGGTGGCCCGTGACTTGTGCTTCTGACCAACCAGCGAGGAATCAGGGGCTCCCGTGCCTCACCCCTCCTTGGGTCTGATTAGTTAGCTGGACTGGCTCACAGATGTCAAGAAAACCTGTTCAGTCACTGGATTACTGATTTATTACCAAGGATATTAAAGGATACGAATCAGCAGCGAGAAGTGCTTAGGGCTCAGCACGGTGACACGTGAAGATGTTCTTAATGAAAAGGGGCCCGTAAGCTGTCCTTTGGGGGTGGGTGTGAGGAGCCTTCATTAGGTAGTCACGATTGACTAAGGAAGGCACTGGCCCTGGGAGACGGGCTCGGCCTCCAGCCCCGCTCCCCTCGGGGAAGTCCCGGAGTGGGGCTGCAAGTTCCCACCCTCTAAGCACGTGACTGGCTCCTGGTGGTAACCAGCCCACTGTGCCCTTCAGTAGCTTCAAAAGTCTCCTCATTAAGGTAAGAAGAGACCAGTTTGCTCTCATCAGGAAATTCCAAGGGGTTTGGGGAGCTGTGAACCAGGAACTGGATGAAAACCAAACATATCTGAGAAATAGGTTTCACCTGAAAAACCAAGTCTGTGTATGTGTTTCTCATCAATCACAATATCACAGGACCCTTATTAACTTTTAGAGCACTTTCTGCCAAAGATAGGCACCAATTAAAGATTCCTTAAAATAAGAGTTTTACAAAGGAATAAATACTTTGCCATTTTTTTGTGAAATTAAAATTTGACTATGTCTCCAAGATGTATGTGCCCTTGTTGGATATGATTATTCCAGCTCTTTCCTTACTGGAACTGCTGATGTTCCTGTAATCTTTTCTTGTCATGGTTCCCGTGGCCTGATTCCTGATTATTTTCTACTCTTATCTTGAAGACCTGTGATCAAGCTTTAAACCCTAGTAATGATGGTGAGCCCTCTTAATTTGATGCCCGGAAAGGAGAAATTGGAGCTGCTGTTGACTCATAGTGGGAAGGTTGGGAGGTGACCAGAACAGTGAGTTATGGGGACAAAGGGCAGGGCACAGAGGGACAGAGTTGGCATTTGATTGATAGCAGCCCCACAGCTAAGCCCCGCAGAGCGTAGTTCTGACAGTGGTGGAAAATGTGAGGTGCCAGAAAACAGGATATGCAGGCATACCAGGTAAGCCACGTGTTCCTCATTCTGAGCTTGACCTGTGTAGCTTTTTTAAACCCCTTTTTCCTCTGCAAATCAACATGCTGATAAATGCATTTGATTTGAAGAACGTGAGTCCCAAGTGGTCTCGGTGCTCACGTGAGAAATACCATCTTGTGTTACTTGGTGAAGGTGGCACCTCCCAGTCCCTCTCCAGGCCATTTCCTGCCATTTCTGACCAGTACCCGGTGCCCTCGGTGCCCGAACCCGTCCTCCCCACTGGGCCCCAGGTGTGCTTTGGCATTTTCATTTCTCAGGTGCTGCCCAAACTCACCGTCCCTGCTAGATTGCAGTCGAGTTTTGCCCTCACCTTGTTTCGTTGTTTCACGGTGTGATAGGCGTTTTTATTCTCCAACCAAAATAGGAGCTGTTTCGGGCACCACATCCTATTCTTAAGTTTCCAAGGCCTAACAATTCTAGACACTCAGAAAGAAGGTTAATGAAAGCTTTCACAGTAAATCATACTGTTATTCATACAGACATTTATTCATTTGATCCATAATTTATTTCTAAGTAACATACCCCAGAGCCCATACTGGCTTGGATTCTTGCCCCGCCCCCATGCTAGCAGTTCGACCTATAGGGCAAGTCACTGGAATTCCCGAAACTTCATTTTCTCCATCTGTTAAATTATGGTCATGTGTCCCAGTCCATGGAGTTGTTATGACGACTACAACAATGATCCCGTAAAGGCACCCAGCGTGTTACCCACCTCCTGGGCAGCCTCTGTCCGTGGAGGCTGTTTGTTACTGCCGCCCACTCTTATCAGAAAGGGCCGGGCGCAGTTTCCTTCTGTCTTCTTTTAATAATATTCGTCATGTTAACACCAAAACATACATTACAGAAAACCAGTCATCTGGCAGTGAGTACACCAGCCTGATAGAGTAAAATGAAGCTTTGATATGTTACAGAAATACTTCAATGACAAGTTTACATGAGAATGTTCTCCGTAGTACATCTTGCTAGTTAAACTGCATATGTCATGTCTGCCGTACCACACAGGTCACTGACAGTGAATGAAAATTGGGGATTTTGGGGATTTCCTCATTTGTGTGTTAAATACATATTTCAGGTATATTAGAACAAGGATGGCAAGCCGACTCGACCACAAGGATGGTGATGCCCAAGAAGCCCGGTAGGTGGCGCTCGTCCCCACGCGTGCGGCCGGGAGCTCCGCTGGGCCTGCTCTGGTTTCTCACACATTGAATTTCAGTAATGTGATATACAGTTCTGCTATACTAACTAAAAATAACTCATGTTAAATATAGATACAGAGTGATGGACACTTAGGGTAGAAAAGATATTAAAAGTCACCTAGTTTTACCTTAATTTTTAAAAATGTATTTCTTATATGTAAACTATTTTACGTGGGTGTTTTATAATTCTTATTACAACATAATTTTTACTAATAGTCTCCCATTCTTTTATCCGTGGACCCATTTCTAACTGCGCACCCTTCGTTTGTAAACCATTGCCTAAAACTTCTCCTCACGATCCCTTTTCCCCTTGTACTGCAGACACACAGACTTCAAATCAAGGCTTCAATCTTCACAAAATTAAGTTGCCTGGTCTTTCCTTTAAGGCTTGAAATCATGTGACCTGTCTCGGTTGTCTGAGTCTGACTCCCAGGCCCTAGGGTGCTGCTGCCCCCGCTTCCCGGGGGGTTTTAGAGCCGGGCTTCAGGCCTGCATCCGTGCACCCTGCTGACGCACCGCAGCAGGTTCCTTCCCCTGCTCTGGGTTTCTGCTGGTTAGACGCTGTTGATGCCCCAGTAAGGTATTGCACAGACCTCAAGGTGGTCAGCCCTGTGAGGTACAAAAGAGTGAAGACATGGTCTCAGCCAGTCTAGATGAGAGAAGACTAATCAAAGAAAAGACTAACACAGTGGTGCACAATTATTACCTCTGCTGAAACAGTGGCTGTAAAGCGTATTGCATTCAAGATGACTGTTCTGTGTGAGGATTCTTTATAATGACTATTAACTGGGCTGTACATTTTGTGTATTTAGTTGCAGGCGTCCTGGATGTTTCCTTTAACAGGTTTCTTCCTTTATCAGGTATGTATTTTCATATGCCTGCTTAAAACATGTGCCATTGTTCTTAATCTTTTCTTTTGTCTGTTTCTCTGAGCTCTAACCTTGTAAGGAGATTGAATTCTTGGTATTTAGAATAATACGCATGGTTACAAGAGTGAAAGTGTCGGCTGCCCTCTGTAGCTGACCTTGAGCACTGGCGCCCTTGGGCCAGCCCGGCGGGGACACCACGGTGGAGCTGCTCACCAGCACTTGTCCTCCCAGGCACCCCCGGGCGGGCATGTGGTAACTTCAGTGCAAGAACTAGACTTCTGGACAGTGGACCTGTTTGTGTTTTTATTGTTCACAGGGTGAAATTCTCCTAGAACAGCGCCTGTCACGTAGCAAGCGCTCAGTAATCTATTCATAGAATTAAATAGCGCATGGGTAGGGGTCTTCCCAAGAAGAGCTGTGTTGCACGTTAACTTCAGTCAGAGCAGCAGAGCCAGACATGGCTTCATGCCGAGTTTGGGAAAACTCCTCCTCAAAGTTGAGGCTGCTTGGCTTGTTTTTCAAAAATGTCCAGAATCAGGGCAAATCTAGGAAAGTGTCCTTATTGTCCACTTAAGATACTGGAGGGTGTGGGTGGCAGAACCGAAGCTTTGTTACGCGTGTAACTAACTCGCAGTGTGTTTCTCTCTCTCATGCTCAGAGCCTGCCCCAGTCCCACCAATCCCCAACGAACAGCAGCTAGCCAGACTGACTGACTATGTGGCTTTCCTCGAAAACTGACTTAGCGCTCTCAGCCCCAGACCCACCTTCAGAGTCCTGTATAGCGACAAATAGAGAAATGTCAGATTCTTATTTTCAAGTCATTGGATGGATGAAGCGCCTCAGCATTCCTTACTGAGTACACGATAAAATACATATATAATATAAAGTATATTATATATATTTTGTCCTTAAAGATCATGCTGACTAGTTGTTGAAACAATTCTCAGTTTGTAATTGACGATTTGGATGGAGCCCGTCAGTATTACGCAGTCAGCTCCTGTTTCCTCGTGACTCGTGAGTGTGCCCTCCTGCTCCGTGCAGCACCGCAGCTGTCAGCTGTCTCTTCTGCCCGGCACATGGCACCTCCCCCCGTACCACTCATGGGGGCGCGAGGGGCTGTCCCCAGGGGCAGCATCTGAACGGCGGGGCATTCTCACTCACCCGCTTTGGAGGACTCGCTCTCCTCCTCACCTCCCGAATCACTGATACAGGACGCTGAAATACAGCCGAGCAGCAAAAAAGTCATTTCCTTGGTAAACCAGTTCGTTAACTTCCGACGTTCTCCTGATGGTGTGAGTACATCCATTGCTGGCAGTGGAGGGCTTGCCATGAAAATGCAACTTATTTAAGACGTTCATGAGGAGCACTGAGTTGTGACGTTTCCTTTCAGAAGAAGGGAGCGGACGTGTGGACTGCATCGTTCTGGGAAGGAAGCTCCTAAGATGGCGGTGCAGTGTGTACAGCTGCCCCGCGGCCTGCTCGGTGCCCCTGTGTATCCCTCGGGCCACGTCCGCCTTCGGAGAGATACCGAACAAGCCTTTCATTCGTTGTGTGACAGCCCTTTGAGGATTTGAGTTGTTTATTGTATCTTCAGGTTAAAACATCCCCTAGTTCATTTATTTTGCATTTGTTCAATAAATATTTAATTGAATTCTTCAACTGTTTCCTCTAAGGCTTTTTCTAGAAATTTCACTGTCCTGCTCTTTCTGTGGATACATTCAAGTTTGTCATTGTCTCTTAAAATAGGAGTTTCTAAATTAAGTAGAAATGACCTATATAGTGGTAATTACATGATTTGTGTTTTCACTTCTTTTAAGTACATTTTCCTGGCTATTTCAGTTTTTGTTAACATTTCTGGAAGTACCTTTTAAATTAACATTTAACCCTGATGGGTCAGTCGTGGTGTTAAAACTCCTTGTTTTACAGTTGAGGAAATGGAAATTCAAGAAGTTGGAGTTTCCACAGCTAGAAATGGATGCCAGTTTTTGAAATTCTAGTGTTAGTACAGATGGTATCCATGGGCCTTCCATTTAATAGCAGACGGGAATCCTCCCAGACGCTCGCTAATGGGGAGCTGGTGGACGTGCAGGGCCACGCCGCTGTGAAGGCATGAAGGTCGACCCACTGAGGCCGTGACTCCAGAGCGAGGACAGGAAGTACAAGGGCTTGTGCCGCTCTGAGGTTAAAAGGTGAGTGGATCCAAGTGTGAGCACACACATTTGCTCCTATTTCAAAAAGAAACGCTCGAAGGTTAAACCAAAAACTAATACAAATGGATTTCTAAACAGGAAGGGGGGAGGGCAGTGAAGTAGATAGAGAAAAAAATTATTTCCAGTGACTTGAACACAGTATTTTACACTGTCAATGGGATATATACTAAGGACAAAATAACAGACTAGCAGATGTTAATATCATGGTTAATATCAAAACAATCTTGATGTCACTATTAAAACTACTGTAGAATAAAATAGTTTAGAAATTACATAGTGTCATTAGAAGCCAGTAATCTTAAATTCGATGTAGACACCTCATGGTTTTTTTTCTTTCTAAACAGTAACTATTTCCTGGCTCTGTCCGACTGGAAAGGCCTACCTGGAGTAGTCACACCCCAGTAACCGTGAGCCCCGCTAGCGCCCAGATGGTGGTGTCTGTATTCAATTTTCAACTAAATGGAGCAAGAACTTCTCCGTAAAATAGTTAATACTAAACCTGGGGCAGTAATTGTACAGGTTGACATCTCGTACAAGATGTCCCAGGTCCAAGAACGTTTAAGAGACAAATAGGATTCTTTCAAACGGTTATAGATGCCAACTTGAAGGGGGTCCCCACTGCCCAAACACGAGACAAGTTGAGTATGAAAAACGCATTCAGGTGTGTATTTTTAGGGCCAGATTCATAATTATGTGCTAAAATAACCTCACCCTGTACAAGAAAGCAAGATAAGTGCTTGACTCCACTCTCCTTGCTTGTGATCAGTGTTCTGGATAATGAACAGATGCCCTAGCAATCTCCAAAGTAACAGAACTGGGTCTTCAGGGTAGCCAGCCAGCGTTGGGAAATTCTTTATGGAAGAATCCCACCTGGCGAGCGTAAACAATATTAGAAAATCAGCACTTTACAGCCTCTAATGAAGTGAGATCTAGTGCTGAGGTCACGGGCTCAGAGAGTGAGACTGAGCAGGAACTGCGTCCAGCACGCTCATCAGCCCATCTTGATGGCCTTGCGATTGCTGAGGTGACCAGCTCCCCGCAGGTGGCCTGGCAACGCCTTGTTTTGTGTCCATTGAGTCCCCATGTTTTGCTCGGGCTCACCCTGACACTGCCACATGGGTGCCTGCACAGACCTGCCTGAGAGGGGGTTAGCCCCGGGCAGCCTTCAGCAGTTGGGGACGTGACATGGTGAATGAACACGCCCTTCCTTTTCTTGGAAAGGCGATTCTAGGGTGCATTCTTCCTATACCTGGTTCCTGAAAAGACCCCAAGATGGAGCTGCGGCGGCCCATTGTCACCAGCTCTACAATGTGGCCCTGGAACATATGGGTCAAGCTGAGAGCCCCTGAATCCATCCGTTCACATCACTGACGGGCACATGAGCTTGCCCGATGGGATGGCATAGTAAGCATAGAACATTGGCCATGAAGTTTCCTTGTCGAAACAGACCCCCTCCCGAGAATGAATATGAATGTGCTCAAGGCGTTAACTGCACATCTGCATGAAATGTGGGAATTAGAGGCATGAGTTAAACACCCCACTAAGAAGCATCAGCCCCATCTAGAAAGTGGGGGATTTAACAGGACAAATAAGTTAATCCTTTAAGTGACATAAAAAGAGGGTGGTGGAGAAAGCAGTAAGCATATGAAGATTTCTGCTCTTGGGTTGAAATACTTTGAGGTGGACTCACAATTGTGCCAAGAACTACAAAGATGGATGCATATAAAAATCTGTTTTAAAGACATCAGAGAACAGAAGAAATGAGGACTAGAAAACTTGAGAGCTGAGAGGAGAGGTCCACAAAGAGGCCATCTGCAGGAAGCTGTTTCTGGGGCATTTGCTGATTCGGGTTGGGAGGAGTCCCACTGCGAGGGGGCGTGCTGACCTGCGGGTTTGGGCCTTCCTCAGGGTGGAGTAGTAACATGGATACTGAGAAGCCTGAAGCACACAGCTGTTCATTCTAAAAGACTGGGGATAAGCTGCTTCGGGTAGGAAGTCAAAAAAAAAAAATGAGAAATCCTTTGAGAAAGTTTCCCTGTAGCCTTACTTTGCTGGGCCCCAGAAAACACAAGGCTGGGGTAGCAGGGGTGCCCGTGAGCATAAACCAGGGTAAACACGAGTAAAACTGCCCCTGGAGAACAGGTCCACAGAAAGTGCTCCAACCGCAGCACAGAAAGGAAATGATGGAACTTAGGGAAAGAGTGTTAGACGTTTTGTACACAGCGAAGAGCTCTACCACAAGTGTCATTGGAATCCACGGAGGAGATCAAACAGCAGGAAAATAATACTCAAATCGTCTGGTACCTGGCCCAACATTTTCCAGAACTGATGAAGGAAATAAAGCCACAAATTCAAAAGGTCCAGAAAACCCCAGCCTGACACCTAGTAAAACTACTGAAAACCAGAGACAAAGGGAAAATATTAGAAAGCAAGGTGGGTGGGGGTTGTTGGGAAGGAAAGGGGACATGATCTTCAAAGAAGCAACCGTAAAGCCAGAAGACAATAAAATAACATTTTTTGAAAGTATTGAAAGGAGAAAAACCAACAACACTGCTATTTACAAGAGACACACTTGCTATCAATCATCCCGTTGTTAAATTTAAAAGTTGGGAAAGATCATACGAATGCAAGTACTAGCCGAAAGAAGGCAGGTACAGCTTTGGTAAAGACAAAGGCTACGCAGGAAGCAAACGCCGTCCCTGCAGGAAAGCCTGGTGGCCAGTTGGTAGCAGGTGGTTATCTTGGTCCTTTTCCACAGTGGAAGGGGCGGTGTTGACATCTTTCTGCAAATGACAGCTATGCCAGGTGTGGGTTTGTCTCCCCATCCTCCAGCACTACCTTCCAAGAACAATATATCTGATCTACTGAGACAGTGAATCACACAGAATGTTGCCTGGTCCAAGGGACCCATTCTATGAAAAAAGGACATGATCCATTGATTTTACTTCATCCATTCTAAGTCCTTACCCCAAACCAGCCTAATAGAATAGAAGTCCTGTTGAAGGCTCAGCTTCCTTGACAGCTTTGGGACAGCTTGATGATTGGGACGCCCCCCCTTTAAGATAAGTATTCGCTGAACCAAACCTCAGCTAATACTGAGCTGTGTCCCAAAAGTGGGGATACGGGGCACGAGAAAGCCTGATTGGTGCCCTCGCCATAACTCCAGGAAATCTGCTTACGGAATTTTTGCTGTTCTCCTAAGGCTATAAGAACATTACCTGTTCTCAAGTTTCTTCTACAGGTTAAACCCTGAGACCCACAACTGCTAAGGGGCCCGATGTTTAATAGCCCCATAAGATCAGTGACCTTCCTGGGGGAGCCCAGCGAAAGCCAAATCGGCTTATTAAAGAAATTGTCCAAGAAAGCAGCGTTTTGTCATTTTCCAAGTTTTGATAAATCTTTAACATGTGTCTGAGGAATGTGCGAGGAAGGGCTAGTCAGCGTGGGAAAAGATGGGGTTGGAGTGATGCTTCAAATATTGGACAGTCATGTGGCAAAATTGTTTATTGCTCCCAAGGCAAAAATCAAGCGAAGGTTAGGGTAGGCCAGTTTTGACTCGAAGAAGAGCGTTTTAACTGTGCAGACCTGCACAGTCCAGTGAAATAGAAGGAGTCACATATGTGACTTTAAAGTTTCTAGTAGCCACAATAAAAAAGTAAAAGAGGAAAGCAGACGAAATTAAGTTTAACAACATATTCAGCCCAATCCAAATAGTATCAGTTCAACATGTAATCAATATGAAAAATATCGAGATATTTTACATCTTTTCTTTGTGCTAAACCTTTGAAGTCCCATGTGGGTTTCCCACTTGCACCACAGCTCTGTTTGGACCCCACATTCCGAGTGCTCACGGGCCATGCGTGGCTAGTGCGAGTTGGTGGTCTCGATCGTCTCAGTGAGAGTCCTGTCAATCAGGTATCCGTGCAACCCGGTTAACCCCTCAACAAGGACGTTTGGAGGAATGTCCAGGCACTGGTTACGCTGGGGACAGTTTTCTGGTCGCTCTCCCCCTTCTCTCATCTCACTTTTTGTAGCAAAAGCATGAAGAACAGAACGACACCTCACCGCATCCGTGCCCTCTGCCCCAGCCTGCCTCATTATGGCGGGAAGGGCCGATGTGTCCTCTGCGAGAGATGAGCAGTGGTCCGGGACTCGCGTTCAGTGTGTTGGGGGGTTTTGAGAACAATCTGCACTTAAACCGCATTGAGAAGCAGGGAAACACAGGCATCCATCTGTGCAGCAGGTGAGTAAGTGCCTCCTTGTTAGCAAACGCCGTGTCTGGGTGTCCTCTCCCTCGGGAACCACTGAGGACACTGCACGTGAAGATGGAGGTTTGCCTATCAATGGACTTAGTAACCTTGGGTAACCTGATCGCTTTCTTATGGTTAAGCAAAGTAAACCTTCCTCAGATTTGGTTGCTTCTCGGGGTGTAGGAAGCTTTCATAA